GATAGTAAGAAAAACGTGGAAGTCTTTGCATTTTGTAATGCGAATACTAAAGAAAAGTTCTGCAAACGTCAAAGAATTAGCATATCTTCCGCTGGTTCGCCCTCTCATGGAATACGGAGTTTCGTGTTGGGATCCATACAGAAAGGCGCACCGAAAAAATCTAGATAGAATACAGAGAAAAGCGGATAAGTTTACCTATAGAAGTAACGCAACAAAAAAGTCATGGGAACCTCTAGAAACGAGAAGAATAAAGGCGAGGCTTTGCGATCTTTATAAATCGTACGTAGATCACCCAGCTTGGAAGAAAATTCAGATTAGACTAGAAAAACCAAATTATTTCGGCCAAAGCGATCACTCCCACAAAATTCGAGCAAGGAAACAAAATTCAGATCTTGGGAAGTTTTCCTTTTGTAACAGAACAATTAGAGATTGGAACAGTTTACCTGCAGCACTTTTCAAAGCTTTTCCTCTCAGTGTCCGAAGTTTTAGAAACAAGTTAGAACAAGATGACAATAACAGATATTAAATGTGCTGTGTAGTGCGGTGAAGTGCTGTGAAGTGCTGGTCAGTGTAATTCAAAGCAAGAAAGTGTAGTGTAGTGTAGTGAAGCGAAGTGAAGTACGGTGAACGCGATCAATGCACTTTTCAATGCTGCTTTTCGTCTTGTACTGTATTGTACTGTACTCCTATTATTATTACAATAATAATAATTATTATTATAATTATCATTATTATAATTATTATTATTAATGTAAGAGTTTTTTTACAATTAATACAATTTTTACAATTATTGTCACTTAACTGCCACCGGGTCATACCCAATTGCAGTTCTAATAAAAAAATGCATTCAATATAATCAATACTTAACTGAACTTGTGAGCTTTCAACATGCAAAATTCATAAATTAAGTTGCAGCTAGAGTCAGACGAAGATTAGTATTCCTCTCGAGTGCCTCGGATGCCGCGCAGCGCTCGCTGACAAGACCTCCCCACCTATTCTGTAGTGCCAGCGAAGGCCCTATTCTGAAACTTAGAACTGAATACTTCTGAACTAGAAGCATTGGGCCAAACAGTAAATGTAGCAATAGAGCCAAGATCGTGACATGGTGCAATACCTGGGAGAACACCACACGGCGGAGAGAGTGTTAGTTGGGCGTTCTTTGGTTTCAAAATGAATTCATATACACCGATATTACTGTAATACCTTGAATATTGATTTCATGAAAAGGAAAATGTATATTCCTAATATAATATATGATATTTTTCGATTATCTGAGGGTTGTGGAATCGAAGTTCGGCCTGCCGCTCTCATATTGGTAAATATTTTATATTACTTAAACAGAAGTAATGTAAATATAGTTCCAGAGGACAATTGAAATTGTCCAAAATCTTTCAAATTACAAGGAAGAACCAAAATCCATCTCATTTATACAAAGAACAGGGACGTTTTATTTCCTCAAGGTTATTCCAAAGTATTGAAGCCATTACAGCCGTTCACATAACCCAGCAGCATTTGGTATACTTGGACTGTTATATGTGTGAAAATTCTAGCGGGGAGCATTATGTGAAATATTGCAATAAGAATAATGGAGAAGAAGTAAACGAGACAAAAATTAGACCTATCTTCAATTCTCTATTCAACATTGGTTTCAAATAACCAAATCCAGATACATATGCCAGATGCAAAAGATTGAAGAAAAAACGGATGGTGTAAAGGAAGAGGAATTGTCTGAGGAAGAAATCAAATCAATTCAAACAGCAAGAGTTGTACATCATGCAAAGGCTCTAGCAGGACCAAACCTAATAAAACGTATATACAAATTTGTGAAAAACCATAATACATTTCATGTAATTACAAAAATCCCAAGATTGGCTGTAAATACAGCGTTTGTATTGCAGAGAGGTGTGGACTTTTAACTTTGATATACATGACTGCTCCACTAACACAAGATATATGTTCGTCTAGAGTGAGAACCGATGTAGGAGAGGAGCTGATGAGGTGGGAAACTACTTAATAAAATAATTGCAGATATAAAATCCAAATGCAGAACATCTTCACATTATAAGTGATAACTGCAAGGGACAAAATAAGAAAAATATTGGACAAACGTTGACCTGAAGCGAGCATTGGTAGAATGCGGACGACTCAAATTTGTGTCACTCCCTGATTTCTTGAAGTAGGCCGTACCAGACTACCCTGCAATCGGGACTTTGGAAAGACGGAGCAGCATGTCTGTCCATTTAGAAACATTAATAAGCTGATAGACTGGATGGCTGTCATAAGTGAATCATTTGTTAAAGTGCTCTTTATAATTACAAAGATGGTTGTGTGATCTCCATTGCCTAAAGATTGGTATTATCAAAAAGACAGTAATTAATAACAGACCTATAAATTTTTGTGATGCAATGTCTTTCAGGTTTGAGCAGAAGAATCCTGAAATCATCCTGAACTTATTGAAATCTACAATAAAAGTATTAATCATTATAAAGGAGTTAATATCCGTAGGAAAGGTATATATTCCATTCGAAATCCATTCAATCATTCTGAGAAATACAAAGTAACATTGAAAGTAAACAAGAAAAATCGGACGATATAATGTTTCTTTTTGATTACATACTGTACCTCAACAAAAATTCTTCCGAACAGCGGAAGGTGATGATTACTTTATCTGGAAATTTAAGATGTGGGAGTGAAGCAACACTATTATTTTCATTTCTTATCAATATTGTATTATTCCAGTATGTTTCATGTGTATAAATATATTTTACCAACAGTACAATAAGTCGAAAGTTTAGTTCTTTCGCGAAGCCACATCTCATGCCATCTACAATGTGGTAATTACTGTCATATATTCAATTTTTACCGTTTCAAATGCTTACGAAAATGTCCCCGATAATTCTAGACTAGATTGGCGGAATTCATTTGTAATCTCTGATTTGAGGCATCAGGGAAAGTTGAAAAAAGCTCTTCTGAAAACTTATCATTTTGTGGCTTGTGACTATCTCTGACGCAAAGCCTCAGTTGATACGTATGTTCAGAACACGTGACTTTTCCAGCTCCTTAGGACAGCACCATGGGTATCATGACACTGATGCTGGATGCCGCGAGCTAATCGTTAAAGTCTCTCTTCGTTGGAGGATTTCTTCAGCCTATAATGGTTTAAAAGCGTTTTTGTTTGGGATATATACACTTTCTCATAGTAAGATGTTCTTTTTTCGCTAAAATAAAGTTGTATTTTCCCGATAAACAAGTGTGCGTTAATGGTAGCGGGGAGAAAGGGAGCGGGAGAAACAGAATAAGCTTTTTTAGATTCTCTACTGTACCCTGAAGACAGGAAACTATAATTATAGTACCCTCGGAACAAAGGCGACAAGTGGATTTTCCTGGCGAAAAAAATTCGGTTCTTATTTCAAGTCAATAGTTGCCCATTACAGGTACCACGTATCTGTGTAATTTGCAGTTTAAACATCTAAACATTTTCTTGTAATTCTCAGATGTTTCACTTGCAAACATATGGAGAGTTTCAACATTTTTACAATAAATCAACGATTTTAAAAATGAGCTACAATTCTATTTTTGCCTCGACAAAAGGGACATAGTTCTTACAATAAATAAGTTGTTATTTACATGCATCATTCGAACGTGTTGAACAAACACAGCATCATTGTATTTATGAGCCACTAAAATTTGTATAGACCTTCAAAATTGTATTTATAAAAAATCGTAAGCCCAAATACTACGTAGCTAACCAAATCACCTGTTTACTTCCGCCACTAAGGCCACCAAGTCACTTATTCCAATTGAATCACAAGAAATGGCATAAAATATTTTCTATGGCATAAAATCTTTTCATTAGAATTTGGCATGCAAAATATATTAAAAAACATTTGATAAATACTGTTAACATTGAATTAATAAAAATCATTAGAGATAACAAGTAATATTTTAAACGCCTTGTATATTGAAATTCAACCATCAAACTTTGAATTCAGCAAAGGCAACTGTAAACTTTTTTAAAAATATGGTAAAAAGTGTAATTTTTATTTATATTTTTAAATAACTATACATTTATTAGAATTAATACATTGAATAATTAATACGTTAAATTATATCAAATTCTGGTTAAATTTGTGTTTAAAATTCTTCCATTCCGAGAAAAATTACGAACATGTTTGGAACTGTGCTTATGAACACTTTTGAATGTCAGAACGATTATGGATGTTTAACGTAGGTAATATTTTTCTCAATGATAACAATTAATACAGATCTCTAAAATAAATGTTTAAAAAGCCGACAGCTTCACTTCTAATCAAGGACTCACTTCTACTCAAATAGAACAGGAGTCGAAATTCGTTGGCACATTTCATATCCAATGAAAGGGGCACATGGATCCAAATGTTTCGTATCCTTCATTTTATGATGTCTTAGCATCATCTCTAAGTTCATGATAATATTTATTTCGAACTATTTTCAGAATGAAAAGTTAGTGACTTGTCATATGTTTGATAGAACAGTGGTTCTTTAAATCAAATTTGTGAACGAAATGTGCTGCCAGAACCTAAACAAATTGAAAGAAAGTACATATCATTGTAAATAACAAATGGGAAGACACAAACCTCTACTATTCTTTTTCTCTAAAATTAAGTTGTATTTTTACGATAATCAAATTGTGGACTGGGGCGGAATAGACAAAGAAAACGTTTTTAGATTTCCTACAATTCCCAGAAATCAGGAAAGTTAAATTAATTATAGTATCCTCTCAAAAAAAGTGGTTTAAAGAGGATTTCTTCTTTGAAGAGGGAAAAGTTTTATGGCTATTTCAAGTCAACAATGGCCGCATACACGTACTACCACCATCTTCGTAATTCGCAATTTAAAAATCTAAAAATCTTCATGTTGTTCTCAAATGTTTCATCTCCAAACGTATTCAGATTTTCCATATTTTTTCAATAACATAAACAACCCACTAAAAGGGCATATTCTTTACAAACTTAGCATCGTAAGTTCTCATTTACAAGCATTACCTAAACGAGTTACACAAACACAACATAATATGTATGAGCCACTAATATTTCGTGGACTTTCAAGACTTTGTGTAAAAGTTAAGCTCAAATAGTAAGTAGCTCACCAAATCAACTGTTTATTTCTGCCTCCAGGGTTATCACGTCATATGCCATAATTGTATAGCAACAAATGACCACAAAAGTTCATTAAAACTTGGCAAGCAAAATATATTGAAAACATAACCTTTAATAAAAAATGTTAAAATTTTAGTGATTAAACACAAATATCCTTTTTTACAATTTTTTGACAATCAATGAAAATTATTTTCTTTAAAAATAATATCAGACACACTACGTATAAAAACACACAAGTCTATTAACCATGTTAGAATCAAATCATTTCACAAATATCAATGTAAATGATCTTCCTAAATTAAAAAAAATAAAAAATACTTTGTGATAGGATCTGTTTGCTTTTAAACTAAATTTATTGGTGTACTTATGTCAAGATTCGTTCCTTCCCTCCTCCACCTCTGTTTTTTACTGACTTTTATTGTTTCAAAACTATGTTCTATTTTTTTACGTTGATCCCTCAGTTCTCTCTCTCTCTCTCTCTCTCTCTCTCTCTCTCTCTCTCTCTCTCTCTCTCTCTTTCTCTCTCTCTTTCTCTCTCTCTTTCTCTCTCTCTCTCCCTCTCTCTCTCTCTCTCTCTCTCTCTGCCTATAGTTATCTCTCTTCCTAAAGTGATGATGTATAATGGGAATTTTTAGCTTTCTGTGTTTGGAGTTATCCTTTTCTAAATCATTTTTTATGAAATTCTACAATGTTTTATAAAAATTGGAACTAAAGTGAACATGCTTTGGTAAGTACTCTCCCGTATATATTATATTTTGTACTTAATGCTTACATATTTTTTCACTTATTCTTGATTTTTTAAATGAATTTTAATCTCTAATATTTGTGTATCTTATTTTGGATACTATTATTTCTTTCAAAATATTCAAAATTAGTTTCCATTTTTTTTATTTTCAGTCGCAAAAAAATAAATTATTTATTTTGATATACGCCTGAATATTGTGGCGTCATACGGGTGTAAGCGAACACAGACGAGAGTGGTTTGTAAAACAGTAGATTTATTAATAATCTAGACTGTAGTCTCAATTTACGCACAGACACGCACTTCACCTGTCGCCGACGCCGATAGATCAAGAAAACTGGGGCATTGTTTTCCTGGCCTTATATAGGCCCTTTTGGCGCTACCCGCCGCCCCCATTGCCTCCTCCCCAAAGCCGCTCTGGGCCGCTACGCTACCCAGCGCGAAGAGTTCCCAGTCTGCGCTTATCTAATCGTCTTTGTTTACAACCGGCGGTGCTCGCCGATTTCCACGTGATTGTTTTGACTGCGCACGACCGTTCTATATTAAAATACTGGTGTACCTAACTGCGCCCTAGGGGCATTTACACATATTTTAGAGTGTAATATTCTTGGTTAGTCTAGTTGCAACAACAAACAACAAAAAATTTTCCCAAAATAAATGCCTAGGCCAGTTGGCCTCACATTTTAAAACCACTAAGGGACATACCTAACTAATACATAAAACTACATTACTTTTTTCAGATTATTGCCACCTATATTCTATTTTCTGTATCAGTTTAATAATTCACTATCATTTAATTACTCCTAATTTCCAAACGACTATGATGTGGTAGCCAAGACTTTTTCTAATGCCTTCCAAAATATTACAAAACAAATCCCACCAATAAAAACCTTCCCAAAATATGAATAAAAACATATACACATATAACC